GGGTTAGATTGTGAAATTTTAACACTTATTTATTTTAAAATTAAATTTTAGCTATATGTGTTTAGTTTTGTGTAGATAAAACACTTAAGAAGTTTAATTTAGGTTTGATAAAGTTTTTGTATGTGATTTAGTTATATATTTTATTTTGGGGTTCTGGAAGACTTAAATTTTTGAAGATATAATGTATTAGAAGACTTACTGGATGACTTAACAACATTTTCCCGCTTAAAATATTAAAAGAATTTAGGTTTCTCGCCTAAAATCAAGTCTTCCAATAAGTATTCTATAAGTCTTCCACTGAAAGTCTCCTGGTGTATTAATTCTTAAAATAATTTATAAATATCATAAAAAAATATTTTGATAGGGAAAAAATCATAATCATCTAATTATAGATCTTTGTAAGTAATATAGATTTAGATTTAATAAAATTGAATTATTTTCGACATAGATGAGTGAATATAAGTTAGTCATGATCTTTTGTTTTTGATTTAGCGTTTGGTAACTATATTATAGTATTGTATGTGTTTGTAAGGTTAGATTGTGGAATCTTATTTTTTTTTGTTAAAAAAAAAATAAATTTAACCTATATGTGTTTAGCTTGTGTATATTAAACACTTTATAAGTTTATTTTTGAGTTTAATAAAGGTTTTGTATGTGATTTAATTATATATTTGATTTTAGGGTTTAGGAAGACTTAAATTTTCGAAGATATAATGTACTAGGAGACTCTGGATGACTTAAGAACATTTTTCCGCTTAAAATTTTAAAATAATTTAGGTTTTCCGCCTAAAATAAGTCTTCTACGTGAATAGTAAGTCTTCTAGGCGAATAGTAAATCTTCTGGGTGAATAGTAAATCTTCTGGACGAATAGTAAATCTTCAAAGTAAGTCTACTGGATGAATAGTAAATTTAGGGTCTAGAAGATTTTTTGGAAGATTTTCATATAGGTCTTCTAAAGTGAGGATGAAAATGAGGATGAGGGAGTAAAAAAAATCATTTAAAAAAATAATATTTTCGTAAATAATCAAAAACTCCTGGAATGGGTTAAAAAATGAAATGTCCAAGAAAAAGGTTTGATTTGGAATTTTGAATCACTTTTGAAGAAAGCCATAAAATACCTTAATCTTACTAATTTTATTTCATAATCTACATATAAATAAATTAAGAGATTTGATCATCAATATATTAATAGATGAGATATAATATTTTCTTTTGTATGCTTTATTTTTATATTTATATTTTGTATTATAATGTAATACTAGGTGTTTTGTCCGCACTTGCGGGCATAATTTTCTTATGAATAGTATTTATTAGTTGATGTTTCATTAATTTATTACTTATGCTTTCAAAAAGTACAAATCAAACATCAAATGATTATAAATGATAAAACTCAAACATCAGAAATATTTAAAATAATATATTTCTATAATTATTTTGCGTAATGTATATTTAATTATAATATTTATACATATATTTTTACTTAATTTATATTTAATTATAATTTTTTATATCTTAATTTTAAATTTTATAATAGAAAAACATATTTTCAAAATAACAATATAATGCATAAATTATTTATTTTATAAAAATATAATATCATAAATTCGTTTTAATTATATAATAATTACATAATAATGACATAATATTATAGAAATGATGACATATAATGAAAAATACTTAAAATCATTGAGAGCTTAACAAAATAGAAAATTTACTTCTTAAATAATTATTCTTGAGCGGTGATTTATATTTAATTAATAATAGATAATTTTCTATTTTTCTTTTAAATTATATAATATAAAAATATATTTTCAAGATGACAACATAATACATAAGAATTACCTTATTTGTAAAAGTATAATATTATTAGTGTTGGTGTCAAAACCGTAATCTCGAAATCAACGTCTACGATAACTTTTGTAAAAGATGGAATCATTGCTTTCCGCAAGAATTATATTACTAAACTCGAGAAATCGTTTTATAAAACTAGAAGAATCATTTTATAAAACTCGAGGATCGTTTTATAAAACTCGAAGAATCGTTTTATAAAACTCGAGAATCGTTTTATAAAACTAGAAGAATCATTTTATAAAACTCGAGGATCGTTTTATAAAACTCGAAGAATCGTTTTATAAAACTCGAGAATCATTTTATAAAACTCGAAGGATCGTTTTATAAAACTCGAAGAATCGTTTTATAAAACTCGAGAATCGATTTATAAAACTTGAGAATCATTTTATAAAACTCGAAGAATCATTTTACAAAACCGCGAAAAACCGAAACCGCCGTAAAACGCGAACTAGCTTCGTCCCGGCTAGTTCGCCCAACGGCGAACTAAGCCAAGCCGGCTTAGTTCGCCGGTGGGCGAACTAGCCTCGTCCCGGCTAGTTCGCCCAACGGCGAACTAAGCCATGACCGGCTTAGTTCGCCGTTGGGCGAACTAGCCACGTCCCGGCTAGTTCGCCCAACGGCGAACTAAGCCAAGCCGGCCTAGTTCGCCGTTGGGCGAACTAGGAGCGTCCCGGACAGTTCGCCGACCGGTGAGCTGGACCGGTCCGGCTCGGTTCGCCGTACGTCAACCGACCGTCCCGAGCCTCGATCTCCCGCATCCCCGATTCAGTGCTTACGTCCTTTGACACGGCCGTGTTCCGAACCACGGTCGAAATGCCTCCCGTTTCGTCTCGATCCGACCTATCATTCGAGTTTTACGATAAAAACCGTATAACTTTGTTTTCTCGGAAAGAACTCGAGGAAATCATATAAAACGGCAACGGTTAAACGAAACACCGAACATTGCCTAAACTATACGATTTATTCAAGATTTCATAAAAAACGCGTTTTCAGTAAAAACGTCGGGAAATCGTAAAAAACGGCAATGATTAACCGAGAAACGAGCATAGCTAAACTTTACGTTTAACTCGGGGAATTTACTAAATACGGCATCGGATCAAGAAACGATCTCGTATAAAGTCATAAAACGGATTTATCGTAAAACGACCCGAAAGGTATTAAAACACGATAAAAGTCCGTCTCGCAATCTTAACGAGATCCAACCCGAAGATACGATAACGTTTTGATGGTTTACTCGCAGAAGAAAGATAAATGTCAAGTTTGAAGATAAATGGCAAGTCTGATGATAAATAGAAGATTTCCGCGGGAAAAAAAGAAGGATCGAGATAAATGGAAGATTCCCGATAAACTCGAATCCGGGAAAAATGGAAAGACTGAACCGCTTGGGAGAGGAGTATATAAGCCAGAGGCATAGGGCAAGAGCAGGGGGACGAAAATCAGATCTAGAGAGGCGGCTGTTAGCTTAGAAATTTAGGACTTAGCGTTTAGACTTGCAAGCCAGATCCTTAGAACGTTTCGACGTCTAAGTTCTCCAATTCTTTCTTGTAACAGTTGTCGATCTATTATTCAATAAAAAGCTTTCACACAATTTCTTAATTCTCTATTCTTCGTTGTTCATCCATATTCTATTGATTTCGTTTGTTTTAGTGATTTCCGCAGAGATCCAGGACCTCGGGAAAATTAGGGTTTTCCCTAAGTTTCCATATTTGACGGAAAATCGATAGTGTGGATTTCGGTTCCTACAATTAGTATAAATTTATTTTAGTTATAGAATACCTACAACTTTTTATATCTTAATTTTAAATTTCTAATAGAAAAATATATTTTCAAGACACAACCTAATACATAAAAAATATCTTATTTTCTAAAAATATGATACTATTAATATAAATTTTTGTTAAATATATAATAAATTATATATAAAATTATAGAAATTATGATAAACTATCCAAGTTACCTAAAATCATGGAAAATATGATAAATCAGAAAACATCTAATTTACTTCTTAAATAATAGTACATAAATTTTATAATAAAAATATATTCTCAAGATAACAAGATAATACATATGAATTAACTTATTCTCTAAATTATCATATTATTAATATAAATTAGTTTTAATTATAAAATGAATAATAAAAAAAATTAAAGAAATTATGATAAATGATCAAAATTACATAGAATCATGGAGAAGTTATGTACTTTTCAAATAATATTTTGATGAATTATATTTAATTATTTAATATAATTTTTATATCTTACTTTTAATTTTTATGATAGGAAAATCTATTTTCAACATAACAACATAATACATAAGAATTATTTTATTTTAGAAAAATATAAAATTATTAATATAAATTCGTTTAGTTATATAATAAATATAATAATTTTTATATATTAATTTAAAATTCAAGTTTTATATATAAAAGTATAGTTCAAGATAACAACATAATTCACAAGAATTATCTTATTTTCTAAAAATACGATATATTCATATAAATTCGTTTTATTTATAAATAAATTATATATAATTACTAAAAAAATAATAAATAAATAAAATTACCTAAACTTATGTAGAATTTGACAACTAAGCAAAAACAAATCACTTCTTATAAAAATATAGTTCAAGATAACAACATAATTCACAAGAACAAACTTATTTTCTAAAAATATGATATATTCATATAAATTCATTTTATTTATAAAATAAATTATATATAAATATTGTAAATACAATAAATAAATAAAATTATCTAAACTTATGGAGAACATGACAACTAAGCAAAATTACTTTTTAAATAATAGTATAGATTTTATCAGTTAATATTAATAACAATAGTTGTTAATTTATGTTTATAACATTTTTTTATTATTTATGATCAGTAAAAAATATATAAAAACGTTTAAAATTATATTTGAAATTACAGTTCTAGGAAAAGAATTCACAGTTATCAAACTTTTAACACATTTTTGGAAATGGCTCGAAGATGTCTTGGAGATGCTCTTGTCTCAGCGGTTATTGTTGATAACCGGAAGATGCCAAAGAACCGGGTGTAAGTTTGGAATCTTGTCGGTTATTGAGTCGGTTTATCATCCCAAAGATCCATTTCGACAAGCGACCTGGTTTTGATCTCCATACCTAGTAACAATAGAGTTTGAAAATTCCAAATTTGAAGGAAGACATGGAAAAATCCAGTAATCTTATTATGGTTTCTTCTCTTTTAATGGCGTTTTTGTTTGCTTATTCTGCATCTGTCCAGCTTAATGATTCTGGTATTCACTTTGTTTCTTCTTCTACTCTCTTTCTCTCGAGATCATGATGTTAAACTTCACAAGTTGTGGTGTTCTTGCAGATTGGTATCTTTGGTTTCCTCTTTACGCACTAGCTTCTGCGGTTAATCTGATAAATTGCAGAAAAATATCTAAATCAAGAAGAATAAAACAGATGATAACAACAGCTCTTAGCTTGGGTTTGTTCTTGTTGGTTAAAGTCGTTGCAGAGGATGTAATAACAGAGGATACTGGAATCTTGTCTTTGGATCTCACTCATAGAGTAGTAAGAGAGAAGATCGGAAGTGGTTTGGTTGTAGCTTCTATGGTTCTGCAACTACAAGCTTCTTGTTCAAAACCAAAAGACAAGTCCGTTGACTTTGGTAAGAACAAGAAGAGGATTCAGTCCGGTTTGAAAAAACAACTTTCAAAACTTGACTCGGTTCTTGTTGATTTCAGGGATGGCTGCAACTGTAATCTTTGGCTATGGACTTCCCTTTTGGTTCTTCACAATAGAGAAGGGAGAAATCGAGATTTGATTCCTTTTCTTGTTATTATGTTGGCCGTATCGTCTGCATGTCGATGCAAACTCACAGGTCACAGATCGTTTTTCGTTTTGATGTCATATATCGACGACTGATGGCAAGTCGTTAATTCTTCATTTTTGGAAATTTCATCAACTTAAAATTTAACTTTTCTGAATTACATGCAAACAAACATGGCTGCAGATATCTGCAGACTCAAAAAAATCTAGAAAATTTAAATAGTACAAACTTCAATGGGAAATAAAGCAAAAGCTTTAAACAATGCTGCAAAGAATGACACTTAAAAAGCCAAAATCTTAACACAAATGACCTCTGCAATTTGTAGCTCTACAATGACATGAATGTTCATTTCCTTGTCCAGATGACACCGGTTTGCATCCATAGTCTCGCGTGAGCTCCTCTCCTGCAGCTATCTGTTGTTACACATAAAAAAAAAAGAAGGAAATATATTAGGTGAAACTTCTTCTTTCAAGCTAATAGAGAGGAAGCCAGAAGAGCCTTACATCTGTACTGGCGAATAGACCGATATGAGCAAGAAGGGACTCCATGCTTTCCACAACAACTTGGTGAGTAACAAGATTCGGGGAGCAGCTAGAGATGAAAAAACAAGATTGAAATTATTAAAGTCATATTGTATAATAATCCACCCAAAAAATGGTAAGGCTAAGACTCACCTGTGATTTATGAATCTTGAGACATTTCCATGAGTAGTAGCATCAATAACATAATCAGTCTCTCCCACTATTCTACCAATGTCGTTGATATTAGCATCAACATCATGTATGTAGCTGCAACCTTCTTCACCATACCTATGAAATCAATAGCAGGAAGTTTTAAGTTATGTTCCAAAACTTTTAAAGACAAACAGGCGTAAATATTTAAAAGCTATGTACTGGATTCGTCTCTTGTTAGCTTCTTGCTGATCAAGAACTTCTCCAATGTATTCACAGACGAATGTACCACGTAGTATATGTTCACAAGCTCGTAATCCCCATCCCTGTGGATTTGATCAGTCATGTATATATACTGGAACTGAAGATAAAACTAAAAGGATGATGGCTCACCTTGCTTTCTGTTCTAAAAACTTCAAGTTTTGTGTGAATTCCATTCTGTAAAACCCGGTTGTGACATGCTCTAGAGCATCCGCAGAGTTCATTGCATTCATAAACAGGATAACCCTCCTGCAACATTTCCACAAACAATCACAATTTAACCAGAAGAAAGAAAAGGAGTAGCTAACAAGATTCTAAAGTTACCTCCAAGATGATCCGTTCTTTGTCATCATATGGGAATCTACACCTCATGGATTTTCCATATATGTCTCTAGCTTCCTCAAAATCGTTACCGAAAAGGTACACATGATCACAAGTTACAGGCGAGCACACTGAACCTCGACAACCACACCTGTGTTGCAGCTTCTGCATGGACAAATAAACAATGTTACAACAGAGAGTCGCAATCTTGTTTAAGATTAGGACAGGTGAGATACCTCCTTTGCAAAATCCACTGTAGGATAAAGCATTGATTTTGTGACATAAGTAAAACATTCCCAAGGCCTCTCACACTGCTTTTGGGAATTTAAAAGATCCTCATCCACGACACAAGATATGGGAATTGGTTCCTTACCAAAGCTTATGTCATTGCACAAAACAGTGGTCTTTCCAAAAGGTATCTTGCTAAAATGACGAGCCTCCATGATACAATGACACTCATCCACTTCCAAACCGTTATTAGAAGCTTCTCCAGCCTCCATAGCTATCCTTACTCGATCATTCTCTTGTCTCGGGGTCAAGGGACATAGAACATTTGGGTCTTTAAAAGCCTTATTACATCCGTTAGAGCATATGTACCCTTCCTGATGCCACTGCACTTGTAAACCATGCTCACCACAGAGTTTTGCTGCCTTGAGATATATCCTCTCAGGCAACACCCCGAACTTAGCCTCCATGGAGGTCTCAAGACTCATCCTACAGCAAGCTGAACGAGCAGTAGACAAGATATCATTGTTATTAGGACGACGTTTCGCTTTCTGAATCTTTGAGAACAATATTTTCGAAACCACAGAGCAGTGAGCATCAAAGTTTGTACTATCATTAGGAGGTGGAGATAATCCAGCTTCTGTGCCGAGTGATTTAGAATCTTGCATCCTCCTCTTCATGTTTCTAATCCTATATGAGAATGCTCCAAGACTTTTCTTGAACTTATTCGGACGGCTAAGCCTACCAGACTTCATCCTGTAAGTATTAAACCTTAACCCTTTCTTCGGACCACGAGAGCCAACTAGACTCGGTTCCATGTGTTCTGCCTGATGGTGACGGCCAAGGTCAGGTAATAAGTTGAACTTCAATCCACAGAACTTGCATACGTATTTATGTAAACCGCTTGTATTCTCATTCTTTTGGTTCACAACAATCTGTGAGTTGCCTGCTTCAGGGTTTCGAGAAGACTCACCATTGGTAGTCAATATGCACTCAGAAGGATGCACAGCTTGAACATGTGTTAGCAACTGTTCTTTATCTCCAAAATTGCTGCCACAAGGAATACACTGAAGAAGCATACACTTCTCCGCAAACTGCACATGATGTCTCTCCTCTACATGAGCTTCTAAAAGTTGTCTCTTCACAAAAGAATGTAAACAAATTGCACAAGCAAATCCACTAAACGACCATTTATCTTCTCCTTTATCATCAAAACCATTGGTGATGGCAAGCATTGTATTAATAGATTCTGACATTGATGCATCATTGAAACCCCAGATCCTAGTTAATCTCTCCTTTTCATGGGATACTAACTTCATCAAGAAACCTCCAACTCCAGCGTCTCTTGAAGCTTCTGATATCGCCCACTCAAGCTGTTGCTCCATCGGGACTGAGTTTCTTAAAGACAAGAGACTTTTGAAGAGCTTGTAGAATACATCACAAGCTTGATGTAGAGGCAACTTCTCCTTACGCGATGAGCAACTCTTTAGAAGATCTACAAACACTTCTTTGGATATTATCCGACTCTTTCCATTCCTCGCACGCTTGAGCCAGTTAGGAACGTGTTGTTCGCAGTATAACGTGTGCTTTGTAGAGAACTCATTGCAAGGAACATAGCTGTTCTCTGAGCAAGAACCAACACACAAGTTATCCTCATTGCTACTACAATGTTCAAGCATCTCAGTGAAGCTTGTGGTTTCATTAGGCACACTTCCCTCTATTTCTCTAAGAGGCACTACATCTTGACATTGAGATGTTTCTAATGTTGACATAATGTCTGTTAGCTTTCTTTTAACCGGATGGGATGAGGAATCTATATCGGTGTGAGGACGGTGTTTCTTGCAGTACAACATTCCAGATAGAGACCTGTGTTTGCATTTGGTGCCAAGAACAGTGACTCCTCTACACATTGGTGTTTCACCAGTAGAAGAAGCCTCGTTCTTTACAAGTTTGGTAGTGAAAGGAGAAGAAGCTAAATGCACACAACAGTAAATATCACCTTCATTAGCCCACCTCACACATTGTCTTCCTTTGGACTCAATGAAAGCTATGCACTGCTGACTCTTATTCCCCAAACCAAATAGTTTCTTCACAGCTGACTCGTTTATGTTTCTGACTTGTGGTTGAGACAATTCATTAGTCTCTCTTGTTCTGACTAACTGTGAACCATTTGCTTCAACAACAATGCCATCCCATAAATCCAAACCATTTTCTGGTGATGTATTCACTATCTTGTTTTCATCTTTCATCACCACAAGACTATTTGTCTCAGTTTCAGTCAGTCCTTGTGGTGAAGTATCAGACTCTATCTGTGATGCGTTTGTTGTGTCTGCACGTCGAATCTCGAGTTTTGGTCTTTTACGGCTCGTCTGGACATCTGAGTTAAAGATGTTTTTACTACCATTCTGCTGTTCTGCTGTCTCTGCAACACTGCGACAAGATATGGAGAACCATTTTGTAACATCATGCTTCCATGTTTTCCATTCAGAGAACACCATTAGTTGCATCTGATAATCAGAAATGGATTTGACTTCGTTCCATCGGATAGAGTTGTCAAGTTCCTAAACACAAAGCAGACGTAGTTAAGAAAGAAAAATAAATAAATGTCTGAACAATATATTGTAAGTTGAGACTAGAACTATAAGTCACTACCTCATTTAGTAGTTCAATACTCTCTGCATTCACTGCTTCATTACACTTCTGTACCCATGAAGGAAACGAGTTTTCGAGCCAGTTTGGGTCCATGTAACGTTGCAAAATTATCTTAACAAACATAACACAAAGACAAGACATTGTTACAAGAATCACAATACAAAAAAATAAATAAAAAATGCACATGGGAGAGCTTACACTCTGAAGCTTGACAAGCATTCTTCCAAGATTTTGATAACTTATGCTTCTAGAAGCCTCCATTGCAATTTTTTTCCAGAATATTATATCATTAGCTGATTCCACAACAACCTGCAATATTTAAAAGTGTTTAAACCAATCCAATTCATACTTCAATTTCAAGCTTTATACCTCTGAGGGGAACTGGTCAGCTATGTTGAGCATACCAATGGTAAGCTTCCGCATAATGTTGCGTCGAGCAACGGTTAAATCTTTAACCATTTTAACTCCAATCTTGTGTGACTTATATGCAATAGGATCAGGGAGCTCATTGATGGACTTAACGAGCTGCATATCTGCCCACGAGTAGTTTTTTGTATGTGGAAAAAATATCACAAAATACTTTTTTCTATCGTGAGTTGGTTTCCCTCTTAAGGTAGTCAACGGCCAATCTGCTCTCGCACATTTGATTCCAGCTTGCCATTTCCCTCTCCACTATTAACACCAAAGACACAAAACATTAGACCATATGAATTAATTAACACTCAAAAGTCAAAACTCTAGAAAAGATGATGATAAAGAATAATCATTACTAGTATAACCTTCACCCACAATGCTATAGGTTCATCTTGTTGCACCCATTTAGGCTCATCTCCTTGTGCATTATTACCGAGGTTTTCGGTTTCTTTCATTACTAAATCGGTACTATGGTTCTCTGCATTTAAACCATCCAGCTCAGGCTTCAATACCAGTTCATTAACTGTTGTCTCTTCAACAACAACGTCGTCAAGTAGCATTTCATCCATTATAGTCCACCAGGAGTTTCTACTTGTGAGCTCGAACAAGATATAACTTCTATTATCACCACTTACAGATAGTTCAGTTCACTTGGATTTGATCAAATCACACATTCTGATGGGAACAAAAAAATAAATCAATTAAGCAAGTAAACAGTAGCAACATAGGACCCATGTCCATATTACTTTCCTAATCAATAATATGATTTAAAAAAAAATTTGACTAGATATCAGAAATTTACAGACATACGAAGGCAATAACTATTACATGAACATTGATTCTTGTGAGAATGAAAGAATTGATTAATCTACTAATTCAGCTAGAAAATCAGATCTTATGAAGTAATTAGTCTTGATTGGGCTATACCCGCAGACGAATCAAGACAAAAAAATACCAAGAATTGATCTAAGCCCTGCATTACAAGGAGTAATTGATAAAACCCAATATTGGGATCATAGAATTATAAATATATCATATATATATATATATATATATATATATATAAAGGTAAGTCCATAGATCAAAGAAACTGAAGAGAAAAAAAATACCAATCCGAAGATTCTGAATCAAACCCAGGTGCCCAAAAATGTTAAAATGCACTAAACAACTAATCTTAGATCTAATATTTTTACTCTAATGTCTAATAACACGATGAACTTGTTAGGAGACTCATGGAAACAGGCATGGCGGAATCAAAGGGCTAGGTTACGAAAGAGGAACCAAACCAAAAACAAACGATAATGGTACCACACAAAAAAAGAAGAATATATAAAGTGGATGCACATCATGTATGTGACATAAGTAACGAAACAAAAAATGTTTTTAACATAAAAACTGGAGTATGGGCATAGAAGGTCACACCTTGTTGATCTGTAGATTCGGATTACAGAAGGTTGAATCTAACGATTTAGAGATTTATTAACTTTTTCGTACAGTAACTCTTTTCTTCTGAGTAATGAAGATTTTTTTTAGGTCGAGGGCATCGGTATTTGGGCATGTACCATGGCCAGAATGTCGAAAAAGAAAAGATAACTTCTATGCTATAGGCAGGGATAACTTATTATTTGTGTGGTTTATAAAAGAGAAATTGAATTACAGAATAAAATAATCTAATCTAATAAGAAAGGAAATATATATGTATACGTATATATGTTTACAAATGTCAAATGGTACGTATAATATACAGCTAAATATATGTCTTGCATCTCTTTTATTAAAACAAGAACATTCATCGGACCGAAGTATTATTTTATAAATTTTAAAATATAATACCTATTTAATTCTATGTTAATTATAAAAAATATTATACTACTAAATATATTTTCAAACAACACAATAGTTAATCTTGTTTCCAAAAAATATAACACATTAGATAGATCTCATAGTACAATAGTTTTTTATTTTATTTTAATTATATGATAAATCAAACAATTGACTAAAATATTCAAAATAATTTTTATAATATCAGAATAAGTATAACTATTTTCTGCAGCCTTAGAGTCTACAAAAATAATTTCATTTAATCTAAAAATAAATAAATAAATTAATTATTTTATTAATATTTTCATAAATAAAAAATAGAAATTTGCAAAATATAATTCAAAACTTGGTTTCAAATGCAAAAATAAACCCAAACATGAATCAAAGGCAAAAGTAACTTAAAAGTCTATTGAAATTACAACCAGCCCATTGTGAACAAACAAAAAACCCAATTTTTTTTACGTTTTTAACCCCGTAAGTATTCTATCCAGACGATTTAATTGAAAGTCGTCTAGTATAGTTATTCTTAAAAATAATTTAAAAATTTTATAAAAAATATTTAGATAAGTGAAAAATTGAAATCATATAATTAACATATGTTTTAAGAGATATAAATTAAGATATAACAAAATTTAATTGTTTTCAACATAGATGAGTGAAAGTAGTGAGTCATGATATTCTTTGGTTTAGGTTTTGCCAACATATGTTGTAGTATTGTATGTGTTTCTTAGGGTTAGATTTTTGAAAGTATAAATGTTTTTTTTGAAAAATTTAAAATTTACCTAAGTGTGTTTATTTCTGTGTATAGTAAACACTATTTAAGTATAATTTGATTTTAAAATGTGGTTAGTTAGTTAATTTAGTTTAGGGTTTAGGGTTTAGGGTCTAGACGACTTACTATTAAGTCGTCTGGTAAATATATTTAAGGTAGACGACTTACTAGTAAGTCGTCTGATGTATAGTATCAACAGACGACTAATAATTAGTGGTCCAAACCGGACCGAACCTCTGATTTTACCAATTTACTTTTAAACCTAACCGATTTTTTACCGGACATATACACGATTTTTTTTTACTCACCCTTTCGCGAAATTCAGAAAACCCTAACGCCGGTTTTCTCTCTGCCTTACCACCGTCGTTATAACCACCGTTCTCACCGCCGCTTCCTCTATTTCAAATCTGAGAGGAAACCCTAGCGCCGTTTTTCTCTAAACCCTAGCGCCGTTTCTCTTAGATGCGTTTCGTTGAACTCTGCCGCCGGTAAGTTATATCTAAAGAAGAACATGAAACATCGTTCTCATCGTGCTTCTTTTTTCACATCTTTTTTTGCAGATCGATAACCGTTGTGTCGAAGGCGACTATATCTTCTCCGAATTTTCTGGTGAGTTTTCCAATGTTCTACTGGAAGTCTTGGTAGACTTATAATTAAGTCGTCTGGAAAGTCTTCCACCTGGAAGACTTTCCAGATGACTTAAATATAAGTCTTTCAACTGGAAGACTTGACAGACGACTTAATTATAAGTCGTCTGAAAAGTCTTCTTGACTTATAATTAAAATGTTATACTGGATAGTTGTGATTTGAGAATGTTGTCTTTGATTTTGATTGTTTTGTAGGAAAAAAATGGATATTCCAGAACTCACTCGTAGGATATATACAGTAGGGCAAGAGCCCCTCCATTGCATAGCATTTCGTATCATCCGTGTACGAATTTTTATACTGCTCTAAGGAATGCTCTTAATGATGAAGAATATAAAGAGCTGAAGGAGTCTAAGTTGGGAGTTTTCATCAAGTTCCAAGAGCTGGATTTTTCATGGGCTTCAAGGCTGGTTCATTACATGCTCGGTTTGCAGCTCGACATAAAGAAGAAGTATGAGCTGTGGAGTATTGTTGGTCCACAACCTTTGAGGTTTTCACTGTTAGAGTTTGAAAACCTCACTGGTCTAAACTGCGAGTACATCGAGGACCTTGAGAGACCAAACTGTCCTGTTACAAAGTAGTTAGCTGATTCCTGGGAGTTGTTGGGAGTTAATATCGAAGCTGGGCCAACTGCTGATCAGATAATAGCAACATTTAAGAGATGTGGAAGGTGGTCTCCGGATGATCGCAAGCGGCTCGGGTACCTTGCCATCTTCACTGGATACATTGAAGGGAGGAAGTTTTCAACCCCTACACGGGCTGTTCTGGCAAGGCTAGTGATGGATCTAGAATGGTTTGAGAATTATCCATGGGGGAGAGTCGCGTTTAAGGTATTGATGGACTCTGTGAAGGGAAAAGATATATCCGGTTGTTACACCATTGATGGGTTTGTACATGCTCTCCAGGTCTGGGTGTACACATCTATGCCGGAATTGGGTGCTACTTATGGTAATCCCATACCAAACAATCCGTCTCCACCGATACTGGCTTACAAGGGTGGTAAAGGACGAAGATGCTTTAAAGAAGCTATTGAAAAACATGTATTTACTTCAATCCAAAAGACTTTTTAAAAATTATGAATATGTCATCTGGAAAATCTTCCAGCTGGACGACTTAAACATAAGTTGTCTGAAAAGTCTTCCAGCTGGATGACTTAGCAGACTACTTATTATTAAGTCGTCTGGGTAGTCTTCCCGGAAGACTTAATAATAAGTCCTCTACTAAGTCATCCAACTGGAAGACTTTCCAGACGACTTATGTTTAAGTCGTCTGCTAAGTCGTCCAGCTGGAAGACTTTCTAGACGACTTATGTTTAAGTCGTCCAGCTATAATACTTTACAGACAACTTAATCATAAGTTTTCTGTGAAATCTTTTCTTTCCATCTTTCTTACTCCGTCAATATCTAACTTTATATCTTCTATTTACTGCAGACTAGGGTGATGAACTTTATTGAGAAGGGTATTGGTGAAATGTTTCCAAAATGGGACTCTGATGCTGAGGACTCGGCCGCGGAGAACATAATAAAACTCATGTATACAAAAAGACCATGGAATTGGACCATGGATTGCTGGGAAGTCACCGGTACTTGGGTCAAGACAATGCCGGCAGCAAAGAAAGCGAAGAAAGCGATAGTTCTGATGGAGGAAGAGAGTCCAAGACCTCTTAAGAAAGCTCATAAAGAGCATATTGAGGGGCTACCTGCAGAGGTAGAGGAAGAGGACGAGGAAGAGGAAGACGCAGATGAAGAGGTAGAGGTGAGTACCAATGTTGGTGGGATGACCAAAGAGGATATTGAAAGAATCGTGAAGGATTCTTTGAAGGATTCTTTGAAAGACGTACTCGATGGCATGACTCAAGGGTTTGGGAAGTGCCTTACGGAGATGAAGTATCTGTCTGAAAGGGTGGAAGCTGTGGAGAAGATCCTTAGTATCACCAAAAATCTGAAAGGGGAATCATCTCAAAAATCTCAACCTAAAAAGCATGAACTCAGGGTTAGTAAAGCATCCTCTCGCAACAAGAAAATGGAAATGGATCTTGATGGAGGGGAATGTGAAAGTGTAAATGGGTCGAACACGAGAAAGAAGAGTTTGCCGAAGGGGGGTAAAGCGACAGAGGAAGAGGCATGTGTTACTTCCTCGAAAGAGCTGAGTATAGTTCCGAACCAGGAAAAACCTCCAGAATCGATCCTTCCATCCAACCTTCCTCCAGAATCGAGCCTTCCTCCAGAATCTAGCCTTGAACTATTGGAGAAACAAGAACCCACTATTTCAGATCTAGTGAAGGAGCAAGCTAGATATCAGGGGAAGAGGGAAACCGCTTTGGAAGAAATAAAATGTGCGAAGAGTGAACGAGCAAGGAAACTTGCTGCCTCACAGCAATCTCCTTATATGGCAAACAGCACGGCTAAAGTGATCATTCCAACCAAAAAGGCCAAAGCTCTACTCTATAATCCTTTTGAACTAGTTAACAAGACCAAATTTAAGGAGCTCGCTGACTGGTTGAAAACTGATCCGTAAGTGATTGTTTTCCCATACATAATAGTTTGCTTTAGTCTACAAAACTGATTGCTTTTCAACATTTTGTGTTTGCAGTCACTATGACACACCTTTCGATGATAAACCACATACAACACCAACTAAGTAGTACCACATTCTCCGAACCTACTTATCTTGGCTGCACGACTGTGTAAGTCGTCTAATATCTTTTCACTATATTTCCATGTAGACGACTTAACACTACAAGAAAACTAAGAATTTACTAGGAAAATAATTCCTCGTAAATTTACTACTAACTTACTTCGGTTTTACGAGGAAAACAAGTTTCCTCTTAAAGTCCTCGTAAAGTTACGAGAAAACGTTTTCCTCGTAAGTGTGGGAACCGAAATTCACCTACTGTCAATAAATCGTAAAAAATGAAACTTCGGGAAAATCCTAAGTCTCCAGAGGAACCGACTATCTGCAGAACCGCACAACGAAGATTAAGAAAACGATAAACTTAGAATTTAAAAGAGAATAAACGAAATTGAGAGCAAAGAGGTTATTATTCCGAATCTGCATAAGAACTGGTACAAAAAGAGTACTCGAAAAGTCTAAGAACGAAAAACCCTAATTGAGACGCAGCTCGCTAACAGAAAACGGAAATATTCCTAAATGCTAATTTTGGTGGTGAGAGCTCTGAAAATCGTGTCCCAGCTTCTGCCCTATGCCTCCTGCTTATACACTCCTTC